GCTGGGGATTCGAACCTGCCACCTTAGGTGTATGTGGCTGGCGCCTTAGCCGCTTGAGCCACAGGCGCCAAGCCTATGCCTATTTTCTTAAGTGTTCTGATCATGAAAGGATGCTGGATATTATCAAAGGCTTTTTCTGTCAATTGAGATAATCATATGGTCTTTGTTTTTTATTTTATTGATGTGATGTATTATATTTATAGATTTGTGTATGTTGAACCAATCCTGTAACCCTGGAATAAAATCAACTCAATCATGGTATATAATTTATATGATGTGTTACCGAATTCTGTTTGCCAAGATCTTTTTTATTTTATTTCATTATTTTTTTATTAAATGATAGCTGTGTATATTAATGCAATCATGGCGTTTGCCAAGATCTTATTGAATATTTTTGCATTGATATTCATTAATGATATTGGTCTATAATTTTTTTTCTTTGTTGGATCCTTTCCTGGTTTGAGTATCACAGTGATATTTGCTTAATAGAATGTGTTGGGAAGTATTCCTTCTTTTTCTATGCTTTGGAAAAGGTTGTATAATACAGATACTAGTTTGAAAGGTTTGATAGAATTCACATGTGAAGCCATCTGGTCCTGGACTTTTCTTTTTAGGGAGATTTTGTATTGTTGATTCTATTTCAGGGTTGGTATAGGTCTATTCAAGATTTCTAATTCTTTCTGGTTGAGTGTAGGAAGGTGGTGTGCTTCCAGGTATTGGTCCATTTCCTTCAGAGTCTGACTTTGTCACGATCAGTAGAGTGCTGTGGCATCACAGCTCACAGCAACCTCCAGCTCTTGGGCTTAGGCGATTATCTTGCCTCCACTTCCCGAGTAGCTGGGACTACAGTCCATACTAAAATTTATATGTAACATTTATAAATGTTGAACCAAATCAATTAAATCTTTAGAAAGTAAGTCAGTGTGTGTAACAGCACCTGTTCACTAAAATAAACATTCAGTTGGCAAAAGTGATACCTTATTTACTATTTTGTGTATAATGCCTAGCACAGTACCTTTAATATTGTAGTAATTAAGTATTTGTTGAATAGATTTTAATACCAAATTCATTTTAAAAATGAAGAATGCTTTATAGCAGTGTCCTTCAATTTAAAAAAAAGTCCATACCCTGTGCATATTTTTAAATTGACATTTAAGTCTTCCATCATAAGTTTAAATAGTTGCAAAGGATATAATTTCTAGTTTGCAAATATTGACATATTTAAATACAACTGTCACATCAATTTTGAAACGTGTCCAACAGAATATAAATGCCACAAGATTTTAAATACCGTCCTGTTAGAAAAGACGTGAGTGGGCTCTCACTAACCATCGTAATTTCTATATTGCTTCTTTTTCTCTTTACTTTCATTTCTCCCACAGAATTTTATCCTAATAGAATATATTTTATGCTTGAAAACTTTCTACTAATCATCTTACTCATTAAAATCAAAATATTTTAAAATTTTCATAGTCTCTGGATTGTATCATCAGTAGAATTACTAATAACACACAATTGATGAAGCAGCATAAGTGTGTGGCCAATCCAGCAAATTATTTTTAAGCAAAAATATAAAATGTTATTGGGAATGTGTCTTTGGGACAGATATGGCAGAATGTGTTTTTGGACCTTTTTTTTTTTTTTTTTTTTTTTTTTTTTTTTTTTTTTTGAGACAGAGCCTCAAGCTGTCCCCCTGGGTAGAGTGCTGTGGCATTACAGCTCACAGCAACCTCCAACTCCTGGGCTCAAGCGAGTCTCTTGCCTCCGCCTCCCAAGTAGCTGGGACCACAGGCGCCCGCCACAACGCCCGGCTATTTTTTGGTTGCAGCCGTCGTTGTTTGGCGGGTCCGGGCTGGGGATTCGAACCGGCCACCTAAGGTGTACGTGGCTGGCGCCTTAGCCGGTTGAGCTATAGGCGCCGAGCCTGTTTTTGGACCTTTGATTGGAGGTTTCCCTAAGTTCGTGTTTTGAGTTATCTCTGTTTGGCACGTCAGAGGTTTTGACCCGAGGCTGATGTGCTGTCCTGAGACTCAGAGTCCCTGTTGGTGGGTGCACTTCCCTGTGGTCAAGTGGAGGGAGGCCACGAGGAAGGAAGCGTGTTGTGTGATTCTCTGTCTGTCTCTTCCTTCTCCATTCCTGGTGGTTATGGCAGGACTGTAGATCACACTGCCTCATCTCCCACTAGGGGCCTGGCTTGGCCAATTATATTAATCCTGTTCCCTTGGATGAAGTAATTTGTCCAGCAATAGATATAAAACCAAGCAGATCAATGAAAGTCTTTCCCTGGAATTGGTATATAGACACTAGGGAAGGAAATTTTTCTTTCTTTCTGTTGGGAGCTGCTGAGCTGGTATTACGTGACTCCAGAGCCCTTGGCAAGCGGTGGAAAGCGCCTGTCTGCGTGCAGAAGGAGGAAGAGGCAGAGTGAAGCTGGGAGGCGGGGAGGCCAGACCAGGAGCCCAGGGCGTGGGCTCATCCTCTAGGCCTGTTTCCAGCAGCTCTTCTTTGATCCTCTGAGCTGCCCCAGGATCCTTAGCTACATGAAGCCATGAAATTACTTTCTGTATTTAAGTTATTTTGAGTTGGATTTTTGTTCCTTCTGAAATGGTTTTATTAACAATTGAGAAAAGTAAACTCAAAGTGTTGTAAAATATCCTTTGTAAAACAAGTAATTTTGAAAATTTGTCTCTTCTAGATTGTTGGACCTTCGGATGGAAGTAGTTACATTATAGATTATTATGGAACCAGACTGACAAGACTGAGCATTACCAATGAAACATTTAGGAAAACACAGTTCTATCCATGAATGATTGCAAAAAGAAACAGTAAGTGATATGACTATCAAATCTTAATCATGGTAGTGTATTATTCATATAAAGTTGTTATAACGAGGGGAAATTTTAAGAGATCATCACAGTTTGTAGACCTCTAACTTGGCTTATGAGGAAACTCAAGTGCACGGATGCCCGAAATGTCTCTAATGCCTAAACATCTCTAATGCCTGGGAGAGAGTTTTTATGAATGCACATAGTCCCCGCAGTTCCCAGTTCACACTGTCTGCAGCGAATGTGGTTAAAGGACAAAGGACTAATGTCTTCTTCACAAGAAGAAAATAAAATCATAGCAAAAAAATACTCATTTTCTGATGATTATGGTGAAAGTTGTGCTATACATAATTCCGTGTAGCAGCTATTTTGCTGTTCATTTCTTCAGGGTGAATATAATCTCTAACGTCTTATTCCTTCTCCTTCCCTAACTCTGAAAGTTGATGAGAGTGTAAACCTGAACTACCTGTAAGCACTTATTCTAACCTGAAGTTTGGCTTTACCTGTGAGAATTATTAATTGGCCTCAGCTTTAAACAGGCGGCGATGCACCTGCAGCAGTCAGGGTTGCCACAGTCTCCCTGCTGCAGGTGTCTGGGTCTCCAGGACCCTGCTACGATCCAGCCATTTATTCCATCCTCATAATCTTCCAGTAATCCTTCTCAGAAAGGACTTGGGTAGAATATCAGCATTCTCTCTAAGGGAGAAGTCCCCGTAAGCTGTAGGACAGAGGGCAGTTTAGGTCGTGGTTCTCCTTGAACTGTCCAGCGGCTTTCACAGAGCAGGACAGGCAGAGTCTTGGCCACCTTTGTATTACTCAGGGTTTGGCCAACTCTGTCTCAGAGACTGCCGCTAGAGGTCAGGAAGGAAGAGACACTTGTTTTTTATATAATAGTATATAATATAAATAGAATGTAAAGTACAGTTTTGTGCCCCTTAGGGAGATGTTTTCCTTTTTTTTTCCCACATTGCAACCTGAGGCTTTATAGGTAGAGTTTTTTCCTTCTTTTCTCACAGTAAAATTATAGGATGTGCCTAACAGTTATCGTCATGAGACTGAACAGCGACAGACCCTGCAAGATGTGAGGAACACACTGAGATGAAAAAATGTTCTAGTCTTTTCTTTTAAACTGTAGAGTCACTGAGTTTTAAAGTTAGAATGAAGCTTAGAAATCCATCTGCCTCTTCTTGCCAAGGAACATATTGAGACGTAAGGAAGTTGAGACTAAGATGCGCAACTGATTACTGCCGAGCCGAGACTAGGACTGAGGCCTTTTGACATCTATCCAGGGTTCTTTCCACCTCCCTCACTCCCCCATCGGCTGTCAGCGGCATATCGTTTTGTATCAGGCGTCTTCATTTTGGAAATTGTTTGCCCTGAGTTTTACGAGAAGTGTTGTGTGGTTTATATGATCTTGTTATTTCTACTGTAAGTTATATCTCTTTCAAAGTATACAGATTGTTTTTAAGTTATAATATGTAAAATTTAAGCAAAGGTAATTTAAAAAGTGATTGCATTCTCTGGCACTATTGGCCTCTACCCTATTATATAAACATTTAATTGGGCTTCCAGACTCAGGTTTGGATTTAAAACTTCAAGGTCCACTGAGAGGGCAGAGGGCAGCGCGGTCACTTGTGTGACCTCTCTAGGGCAATGTTTCCCAATCTTTTCTGCCTCAACCCACTTAAATTATGTTGACCAATAAAAGAAAATACTGTGCTTTCAGCTTCTTTCAAAAATAGTTTAATTAATGATCTCTAAAAAAATTTTTTTTAATTTTTTAATTAATTTTGTTTTTTTTTTGGCTGGGGCTGCATTTGAACCCACCACCTTCTGCATATGGAGCTGGCGCCCTACCCTTTTGGACAACAGGCACCGCCTGATCTTTAAAAATTTTTGAGGCACACCTGAGACCTTCTCATGCTACCTCTGAGACCCTCTCACCCCACACCTGAGACCCTCTCACCCCACACCTGAGACCCTCTCACCCCACGCCTGAGACCCTCTCACGGCACATGGGTTGAAAGTTGCTGCTCTGTAGTGTCTAGAAGTGCTCTAAGAGTAAGAAAAAATGTTTGACTAAAGGGAACAGTTAAATGAACATTTATAGCAATCTCATTGAGCTCTTTAAAATGCTGTGTTCTAACACACTTCTGTCCTCAGTTTCAGGACTTCGGCTTCCTGGTTTGATGGAGAACGCCCCGCGTGTGGATCTCCAGTTTCCCTCTGTCCTCCTTCACACACCACCTCACTGGGTTCTAGATAATTTTGTTGTGGTTATTTTTGTTTTGTTAATTTGGTCAAAAGTACATAATTCTGAGATTTATTTAATAGGACTTTCTTCGAGATCTGTAAAATAGTCTTTCTCAGGCTGCTGTCTCTGTGAGATAGACGGCTTGTTACTCTGGTAGTCTTTAATACCTTTTACAAAGGCAAGTTGCCACTTGTCATTTTTGCTTCTGAAAAATAAAAGTATTAACTTACTCAGATTTTCAGTGCTTTGTTATTGAGAAAATCTTCTTAAATGTTGAACATAGCTGTCTTTTGCATTTTGATCCTTCAAAGGAGTTAATCCGTGGTGTGAACAAATACCGTTTATATTGCTTGGGGCTGGGTTCTGTGTGACAACCCACCCACCTGTTCTCCAGCTTTCAGACGTGTCTTTCCTTGGTATCCAGGGCGCTAACGATCATCAGGGAGTCTGTGAGACCTTGCCGCAATGTGGATACTTCCAGCAGTGATTCAGGCCTCTTAAGCTGAACTTTCTCCTTTTTTGCTTTGTGAGTGCTAAACTAGTTTGTGGAATAGCACATGCTGACTCATCCCGCCCGCTGCAGTTATGTTTGAAGCTGGATGGCCGCGGTGGGAGCACCAAAAGGTGATGACCGCCTCCCACCTGTGAGCATCGCGGGCAGGTGATGACCCCCTCCCACCTGTGAGCATCGAGGGCAGGTGATGACCCCCTCCCACCTGTGAGCATCGAGGGCAGGTGATGACCCCCTCCCACCTGTGAGCATCAAGGGCAGGTGATGACCGCCTCCCACCTGTGAGCATCACGGGCAGGTGATGACCGCCTCCCACCTGCGAGCAGCAGGCAGGTGATGACCCCCTCCCACCTGCAAGCATCGAGGGCAGGTGATGACCCTCTCCCACCGAGAGCAGCAGGCAGGTGATGACCCCCTCCCACCTGTGAGCATTGGGAGCAGGCAGCGCACAGGTGCCTTGAACGATGCGTGGGTGGTGGGGGAGGTATTCTGGGCGGCAGCACCGGTGGTGCCAGGCCTCTCAGGAGGGGGAGAGCCGCCGTCCCACGCCACCCAAATCTGGCTCCTCAACAGTAAAAACCATAATTTTTCCTCATATATTTCCTCAATCTGCAGTAACCTCATTGGACTCTTAAAATACTGTGTACAGGGCTCAGTAAGTAGGGCACCGGCCCCATATACAGAGGGTGGCAGGTTCAAACCCGGCCCTGGCCAAACTGCAACAAAAAAAATATCCGGGTGTCTTGACAGGCTCCTGTAGTCCCAGCTACTCAGGAGGCTGAGGCAAGGGAATCGCCTAAGCCCAGGAGTTGGAGGTTGCTGTGAGCTGTGACACCACAGCTCTACCCAGGGCAACAAAGTGAGACTCTGTCTCTACAAATAAATAAATAAATAAAATACCATGTACGATCAGCCTCATTGTAACATGTGGGTCATCCAGTGCTAGATGAGAGATTATTAAACGTCGATGAACCAAGTGAGCTTGGGTTGACAGCTGACATCTTGGCGTCTCTTTGCTTTGCTCATTGATTGAATGCTGCGTCTCCTAAGTGGGAGGCGCTGATCTGGGTGGAGGAGGCAGCAGAGCAAACACCAAGATCCGCCTGCAGGACCCACTGTCCTGCAGTGACAGCACTTTGGTCACAGTTCAGCAGGTTGGTAGGCGCCCGCTTTCTCGTGTTCTCCCTACTTCTTCCAGATTGCAGGTGGTGCTTTGAAGCCTCTGTTGATATCACCTAAGCCCAGATTTTAAACGTTATGTTTCCACAGGCACCTGAGTTTAATCATATAAGAAATACCTGCAGTCAAATCTTGAAAAGTAATCTTGATGCTTCATAATTGTTACACTTATTAACTTGAAGCCTGTTTCAAAGCAGGTGCTTCTCAAAAATACGTCTTCAAATAAGCTACACGCTGAAATCCTTGCTGTTAAAGTCTAGCAACAAAGCCCCTTCACAGTACATTACTAAGCATTTGAACTTTATTTTTACTATAGTTTCTTAAATTTACATGATAAAACACTTCTAGTTTGCCTGATTCTCTGTTGCCTAATATATGAAGTTCTTTAACAGTTTTATTATTATTTTTTAATATAAATCCACGTGAGTGCATTTACGTTCCATGTAAGTTTGCTACTTCTTATTTCTTCCATGGAGCACTATTTCATCATGGCTGTTTGTCAGTGCGTGTGAGTGCAAAGTGCATGTTAAGGCTTCTCTATCAGATGTTTTATTAGAGAAGTGGAGATGGGTTAGCTTAGTAATTTCTTGTGTTACCACTAAATCCTTTAGGACAGAATGGAATGGATTCTTTTAACCATACAGAAACATTTCATGTTTCTAAATGTTTTCTAAACGTTTATAAATGACTGGAGTGGTCATTTACAAATGGCACTACTTTCGCCTGAAAAGGTGAATACAATTTCCAGAAGTTCTCTTTACCCAGAAAGATTTCTTTCTTTCTTTTTTTTTT